AGCTGTATGCGCCCCCCCCCCCGCCCCGTCACCTCCGATTAGCACGGTTGGCTACGGACGGTGCGAAAGAAGTTCAACAACACACGTACGTACAGAGCGTGTGCATTATCAGCGCACCACAGCAGGTCAATTGATAAATGTGGACTTTGAAGAAAAAACTGCCACCGGTGTTAAACATTGCACCAACAGGTTTTGACGAATAATACTCACGTGAGTGCCTGGTGCGGTGTGGTAACATCGCTGCTAGGGAGACAAAGGCGGCCGGGCGTAGCGTTGGCCACCCACCCCCTCGTGTCGTGTCGGCCGTCGTAGGCGCTCGCTAACAGCACTTGCCCCAATAGTTTGTTAAGGCTACACGGGTGGTCTTCACCTGTTGTTTTGCGTGTACTGTGTATGTACGTACTTACCAGGAGAAGCCGGTACAAAGAGCGTACTAATCTCCATTCGCCCCGTCAACATGCGCAACTTTAAATAAATATAGACAACACGTTCTACTTCATTAAATATACTTTTTTATATAAAAGTTTTCTCCTACAACATCAGAGTGCAGCGCCGCATTAAATACGCACTACAATGACAATAGTTTAAAGCGATTTGAAGCATGCTTTATTTTCAAAATGGAAACATAGGTGTTTTTGGGGGGGGGGGGGGGGCAGAGCTTTGTGACGTCATATTTGAGGGTGAGTCTGACTTTTTGTGACGCCGTGTGACGAGGGGGTCAAAAATCGCCCAAAATCGCGTGACGTCATTTATGGACGGCCCCCATAAATCACGTGGAGAGCGTATTTCTGTTTGTGTGTCTTGTAGCCGGCGAATTAGCGCAGGGATAATGATGTTGCTTGCGCCCACTAATAAATGCTCAATGTCCTTTAAGCAGAGGCGTGTGCGGTTTATATTTACTGTATAAGCATGACCTCGTAGGCGAGTCACGTGTCACGAGCACGTCTAGAGCACGCGCGATTCCACGTGCACTTCGTTTACGAGGCCCTGCATATCGCGCACGTTGCGCGGGTGAATTGAATTCAAGAGTCGCGTTCATCATTACTAATGGGTTTTTACCCTTATATCCGGCACCAAAACTGACACCTTTACACAAGGGATCATGCTTGCAATAACCACAACACAAGCAGTCAAAATGTTTGCAATAACCACAACACAAGCAGTCAAAATTCTTGTGTTGTGTTAAGGCCGCTTGTGTTGTGGCCGAAACGTCGTGATTTTTGTTGTTTATTTTTTACCTACGTGACTTTACCGAATAGAACCAAAGAGTATGGATCCTTGCAGTCACGAAAGCTTTAAATCTAGAGTTGTGGTTATTGCAAACATGATCCCTTGTATAAACGTGTCAGTTTTGGTGCCAGATAAAAGGGTAAAAACCTATTACTATATCTTGCTACTGGCAAAGGAGGTCTCATGATGTAAACGTGTTTGTTTATTTACGTCTTGTTGCGCTTATAATTATTGGTGACCAGACTTGAGAATCCGCTTTAACCACACGGGTGTAGATGTATATATATTGATTTGTTTTCCTGCACAGAGGCGGATCCGAGAAACTGCCGCACAACGTCGCCTCTGCAGCCCAGAAGGCATCAAATTTGCCGAATTATTTAGCAATTCAGCGTTGCCATTAAAGATCGTTCATATTGTTGGGATTATAGCGGCCTCTAGTGGCTGTGTATATCGAATGGACTAATGACTGTACAGGGTGGTCCGGATGTTTTGTGACCCCCCCCCCCCCCATGAATTGACCACTCATTTTATGTTACATAATCACGTCTCATGGGATCTCCCTTGTCAGTATCAATATATTAGAATAGGTTTCACCATTTATGACAATAAAGCAGGTGCTAAGGTGTTAAAAGACCAAACTGAAACCTCTTAGCAAAGAATCACGTCTGCATTAACCACACGCACTTGTGGTGAACATGCAAGCAAAACATCCTCTTGACAACAAGTGCCACTCGGACCTAAAAAAAGTCTGCGTGGCCTTTCGTGGCTGTGCTGTTCGGCGCTCCGGTGCGTATCCGGGCGAGAAGGGCGTATTGTCCCGGCACGATGTCCGACGTTTCGCTCTACGTGCTGGGGCCTTCTTCGGTTCCGCTCCAAGTTCCACTTCCCCGTCGGCGCACGGCACAATCCGAAGGCGCATCCAAGGGCAATATGTATGCATCTCTTTATTTTCGTACACAGGGACTCCTCTACTTACGAACGAGTTAGGTTCCAGAGGTTCTGTTCGTAAGTCGATTTGTTCGTAAGTCAAACTTTACTCCTGTTGCTTCCAAACACGTTGTACGGTATGTACACTAAACACAGGGAAAGGGTTTAAAAGTTGTATAATCTTCCATAGATGTAGATGCCACTAGTTCTTCACGTTCTGCATATATTAATGCCACCATCGCTATCTATTGCGTGGCAGTTGAACTTAGAATTCTCGGTTCGAACAGGCAACTGGGCATACGGACCTGGTTTGCATGTATCTCTGAAAGTTTGTAAGTAGAATATTCGTAAGTAGAGGAGTCCCTGTAATTAATACATTAAGTGGATTAGAGAGGAGAAGACCATGTTGCATTTAAGTGGAGGAAAATCCCTCCAAAAGGGATGGCCATGATGCGGTACAGCAAGAAGGTTAATACACACATCTGTGCTGACCTTTTAGTCTTGTCCCATCGTACGTTGCGGGATTTGTCCAAATGCTCCGGATTCCTCCCACACGAAGCAAAACACACTCAACAACGTGGGAACAGCGAGACATCTCAACGCAGGGCCCTCCTAATAAAGTCTTGACACCCTGGTGAGACGTCCCTGGGTAAATAAATTACACGTTTAAACCCATTAATTGACAACGCTTCACGTTGACTAGCGAGTCGGAATGCTGAGGCTAGGCTATGGCCCAAAGCATGTCATTTGCACACTGGCTGTAGTAATTAAACGTCAAGCACGTGTAATAATCACAAGTGGTTCCATATGGCCGGTCTGCGTCCCTTAGGAGGTATATAAAGCGGTATACAGAATGTTGATAAATGATACGGCGATTATCATGAAAGTGACGATCGTGTTAAACACATCCCACCGGTGCGCGCGTAGCGGGACCCCGCTCCTAGAACCCACGATGCCGTGTGCCGCAAAAGGCGGATGTCGAGCACGGTTTGCATGTCGGTGGTCCCACTTGCTTAACTTCCTTGTGTATGTTGAACTTCTTTTCGCACCGTACGTAGCCAACCGTGCTAATTGGAGGTGCCGGGGGGGGGGGGGAGAAGGATTTAAAAGTACATAGCTCCATTGGCTTCCTAATATCGGAAGGAAGAGCATTCCAGACGGCCGCAGGAGCACATCTGTATACGGTTAATGCACCCGTCTGTGCTGACCGTTCAGTGTTGTCACACTGTGCACGTTAATAATGCACAACACAGATTGATTGGGAGGTTCGACTGAATGGCCTTTGCTTGGCTCGTTACCCCTCCTGGGGCTCCACGGTGGCTAGGAGATGTCATCTCCCTCGCCTGGTGTGCAGGAGGTCGTGGCTTTTTATGCAGACCCTGACGCCTGCATATTTGGAGTTTGCGTGTTCTCGGGTTTTTTTAGTAGTTGTCTGCTATACATTTCCACGTGATAAGCCACTTTGTTGAGCTATCAGTTGTGGCCAGGTCGCTTCTGAAAAAGAGCCACGCAGCTCAGCGGGCCTTACCAGGTAAAATAAAAAAGTAGTTTAGTTTAGAAGTGGGACTTTGCAAAACATAGCGACAGAACGGATAGGACGACTGGAGGTGGTATACAATCTTTACCCTACAGAATCCTGAAAACGTCCAAATAGATCAACAAGTTTGTGTTTTCTCCCCGTGGCTGCGTGGATTTTTTCCAGGTCCACCGGGGGTTTTTTCTCACGTTTAGAATAATGCGTCGTAGAGTATTCATTCGGCTGCTATAAATTTCCACGTGATAATCCGCTTTGTCGAGTTATAACATGTGGCCACGTCAACGGAACGGGAAAGGGGTAAAAATGTATCCGCAAATGACTCAAGTGGAACAACACGCAGCAATTCGCCGTTACCCCCCCCCCCCCTCCCGCCCCCACTGGGGAAAACTTGGCAGGATTCTCGCGAAGAGTTGTCGCGAGACTCAAGCGAGGCTTTCCAGGGTAAACCGACGTCACAAGCGATCACTGCTCCCAGACTTTGGAACTCCTCAACGCGTGGCCAAGATTCGCCGGAATTAACCCTAATTTTTAAATGCATTCGATGATATTCTGTTCGAAAAAATGGAATTCGTTGGCGATGAGACGTGCTCTATTTAGGCGAGGTTTAATATCTGTCAAAACTAGATTCGAAGCTTTCGTGACTGCAGGAATTACTCTTTGGTGCTTTCGGTAAAGTCACGTAGTAATACATAATTATTTAATTAAATATCTTTACTTTGGTTGTGTTCTACGGTGGCTACAGATACTACGGTTGGATTTTGTGAGATCTTGCTCCTGAAAGGCACAAGAATATAGATGTGTTGGTGTTGTCTTTGTTGGTGTTGTTGGATGCATATGGGACCAGTGGATCATACAACTCGCAAGCATCAGTAAAAAACTGAATGCAAAAAGGATCCATAACATAGTTTTTTTTGGGTTAGATCGCGTAAATATTAATGCGTCGTTAAACCTGCCACTGCCCGACACAGCCAATTAGTAAGGTTTGTCCCGTAAGGAGAACATGCCAATCCGTTACTAGTATAGCACACCGGCGTGTTGGAGAGCAAATCCACAACATTTACAATCTCAGTGCGAAGGTTCGTCAGTAATTACAACAAGCATCATCAATGTTTGATTTACGTGACAAACCTTACTAATTGGCTGTGTTGGGTGGTGGCGGGTTTAAAGACACATTTATGTTTGCACGATCTAACCCAAAGAAACCTGCGTCATGGATATTGGTCGCGAAAGCCTACTTCGTATAAAACAAACAAAAAAGGGTGTCTACTTAAATTTTAATTTATTTTACAATTTGTCTTACAGATGTTACAGGGCAGTAGGACCGCGTACCACTTCAGGGCAGAAGTAGACTATAAGCAAAGGACACGTTAACCCTAAACAAATGGGATCATCACACACACACACACACACCACGCACCATAATGAAACCTATAAAAGCCCTACAGTTCCACCGTGCATTACAATCCAAAGAAGACTTTTTTTTTTATCTTTTGCCGAGGTTAAATAATGAAAGTAACCACCGCCCCAAATGTGTTTGTCCGTCTGCAGCGCACGTTCTACGGGCACGACGCCCTGACGTTTCGCGCACCACCTCATGCCGCTGGCGACTGTGTGACACCGTGGCCCAACGACACGTGAGCCACCACCTGGAAACACACGGGGAGAGAGAGAGCCGTGCAGCGGTGCAACCGCAAACAAAACAAAAAAGACTATAACCTGTACGAGCGTTCAGATCAGCAGCAGGTCGGTTAAAGTCAAAACATTCGGTGTGACTCGAGCGGCCAGCGTTAAAAAAAAGGCATTCATTATACTTACTGCAAACTATGCGGCGATGCGACTTCGTGTCGGGGGGGGGGGAGAAAGCGGATTCGTTAAGGAGTTTCTAGTGATATCGGTCTCAGGTCTCTTTACCATAGTTCCGTACAGCAGCTTGTGAAGTGTAAAGATATGCTCCAGCGACTGTTGTTTGTTCAGATTACGATCAGAAATTCATTAAGTGTTCTTGGCATGATCTTCCGTTTAAAAATAAAACACCTCCTGCAGAAAGTACGTAATTAATGAAATACTCAATCGTGAAAATTATATTGGGGAAAATGCATTGCTGCCACCATTGTCACACCTTTATTTACAGGGTAGTTATAAAGCACTACTCTTTAGCCTCATGATCTAAGCGGCATGGAGTAACAATGTTAATGTGTTATTCTAAAAATCATTATTTTTATTATCTTAAAAAAAATAATTATTTAGCCCAATATTTCACAACACTAGGGTGGTTACTTTATGGACAGTAGTGATTTAGCAACATCGATCTCTCAAAAATTTGTATTTTTAAAATAACTACAGCCAACTCACATTCCAAATATTTGCGTTATTTGCTTTGGCAGACGGTCACCCTCTTCGTAACATGAATCATGCAAGAAATCTGCTCTTGATTTCTAAATATCACGTCCGTTTAATCGCTACAAATCTAACAATGAGTTGGAAAAACCTGAGTGAATTTCTTTCCTTTTTATTTCTTCTGCTATCTTGACTCATAACCCAGATGAAAGTTCACCGAGATGTTAGCACCGACGAGAACGTCACTCAAGACTGCCTTTGCTGGTTTAAAACAACTGTTGATCCGCCGCACCATCTCCCAATCATGAATAACCCAAACCACACAGCACGCATGTGGAAAGTTAACTCAAATCAATGAAGTTTAAGAAACCAGAGTTTGAGAAAATAGGGTTCCTCAAACTCAATTTCTCTCCACTCACCGAGGCACCTCCGGTCAGCTGCAGGTAAGGTTGTAGTAACACGCTGCACAAGCCTGATGATTGTGAAATGTGCCCCGATTCAAATAAAGTTTGAGATCCTGTGCGCGAGTCACGCACCATTGGTGAGCGGTGGCGCAGTGGTCAGCACGCTGCTCGACGAATCCCGAGACCCCAAGATCGATTCTCGCTCGCGGCCAATAACAAGTGACAGGGAATTTTTGAACCAGTCCTGGGCCTCGCCTCGGTCGACTCGGTCATAAATCGTTACCTGGCGCGGTGTGTTAACATCGTCACTGGGGGAACACAGAGAAGCGGCCGGGCGTGGTGCTAGCCCGGCCTTCATTGGTGCTCGCTAACAGCACTTTCCCCACAAGTCTGTTAAAGGCTACGCGGGGGGGAGAGTGTTGCGAGGGGTGTGGGGATGATTGCCTTCATCTTTTGAGGCGCAGATAACTAATTTGAATGTGGACACGGCGGGGCCATCGTTTAGCACTCGTGAGACGCATGCGGCGTTTATAACAACTTGGATTGCATTCTGAACGGAAAAGACCGGTAAACATGGGAAGGTGCTCTCTCTCTCCCGGTGGTGGTGGTCGATCACGAGTGCTGGAGTACGAAAAAACCCACGGCTTTCGAGACAACGGAGTCCATGGGCCCCCGGCAGAATCTGGTACCGCCCCCGAAGGTAGCAAGAACTTCAGCGGTGCCGATTCATTTTTATTCGGCAAATCAGCGTTTTAATTATTTGATTACCACCCCCACCGCCCGGCCCAACTCGTTCCAATCGGTCACCGCGTAAAATCACCGTTGTTGCCCACGCGAAGAAAACTGCGAACCGCCCGAGGGTGACGCCACGCCAGGTGGCACCGGACGAGTGAGATACCTGTCCGGGGGGGGGGGGTGGCTCACGGACGACATCGAGCGCACGATCGCCTGCCACCGCTGACACTCAGCCGGGCGGTCTCGGGGCGGGCGTGGGATCGGGTAGGGCGGATGGGGGGAGGTGGGGGGGGGGTCTACGGTCGACCGCTCGGCGTGCGGCTCCGCCTATTCGGCCGAGCCGCCGCCGCCGCGATGCTCGATGCCGTCGAGGCGGCGGCTGAGGCTGCTCACGCGCTCGTCGATCCTGCGCAGGCGAGCGTCCACGTGCCGGCCCTGGGAGCCGTCGCGCCCCGGCGAGCCCGAGTAGAGGTAGAGGCCCACGGCCACCACCATGACGGCGACGGCCTTCTCGGGCGCCGCCTCGTACTTGACGGAGAGGTAGGCGGCCAGCAGGCCGAGCAGCAGGACGCGGACGATGCTCGCGAGCAGGGGACCCAGCAGGGAGAACGCCGCGGCGCACGCCGCGGCGATCAGGAAGAAGGACAGCTGGTAGGCGACGAAGAGCCCGGCGAGCAGCGCCAGCAGGCTGCCCGGCGAAGCGAGCAGCGTCTTCACGTCGAGCAGCCCCCAGATGTCCATGTCTGGTGACGGGCGGGCGAGGGGGAGAGACGGGCGCGCACGGATGAACGAACGAACGGGCGGGCGGGCGGGCGATGGAGATCGCGCGATTTTCACCGACGTTGGCAGAATGTTCCGCGTGCCGTTTTGTTTGCCAATCGTTTACTCGGGGAGTGTCCCACTTGGGAGGGTGCTGTATTGGGAGGTTTTGACCGACACCGACGATGAGCGTCGCGAGAGGAAATCGGGAGTGCCCCGCGCCCCCGATGAGCACGGTTGGCGACGTGCGGTGCGAAAGAAGTTCAACGTGCGTGCAACATCCATACAGAGCCCAGGCAAGCAGACGAGGGGGCGACGCTCACTCGCCTGGCTATCGTCGTACACCGACTGTGACCACGCTTTTGTGCACTGAACACGAGCCAATGAATGAATGCGCAACCGACGGTATTTACACCACCACCTCCCGTTCACCTTTATATCCGAGAATTTCCAAGAAGTCGTAGGCAACCCGGGCCAGAAAGTCCAGACAGGCGTCGACGGCGGTGACGAGCTGCCTTCGAGCCACGGCGCTCCCCTGCGAAGAATTACAAAACCGTTTTTTGTTTTTTTGCTTTCACTCGCACACTACGAGCAGCGCGCGATTGATCGCTCTTGCTTTGTAGGGCAAAAAAAAACCAATGTACACCGTTACCTACCTCGGTGCTGTTGCATACCCGAACAGTTTTATTGCCGTTGTTCTTGTTGCACGGCATTCCCTCATTATTCGCGAACAAGCTCATCCGCGAATTTGGCTACCCGCGAATCGCACCTGAAACTCTGCACGACTACTGCGTCGAGAGAGAGAGACTGAAATAAAGTGACGGGTGAGAGAGTGTGATGCGAGAAAGTGATGAGATCAAGCGATAAGGTAAGTTAATTTATAAACTGTTATTTCACATTCTTGGTTCTTTCGGTAAAGTCACGTAGAAGGGAAACAATACAATAATAAAAATATAAAAACATACTTCAAAAGGCGTACTTTTGCGCCAAAAGGCACACTTTTGCGCCTTTTGGCGTCATCTGGTCCAACACCATGTGAGACTGGGCTCTAAGAAAAGCTGTCTCTGGTGTGGACCAATCAATTTCAAGGACAATGCATACATTATCAGAGTTGTTTTTTGTTTGCATTCTGACCGCAGGTATTGTGGTTAATGCAAACATGATTCCTCGTAAAAAAGGTGTCAGTTTTGTTGCCAGAATAAAGGGTAAAAAAACCTATTATTAAGGCCACTATCATTTGCCGCGAAATTAGTTACTCACGAGCATCTCCGGAACGTATCCCTGGCAAATAGCGAGGGAATGCTGTTCAGGATGTATTCTGCTAGCATTGTTATAGATGTTTTATTATCTACTGTTAGAGATGTTTTTATACCTATTGTTTGAGATGTTTTATACCTATTGTTAGAGATGTTTTTATACCTATTGTTAGAGATCCAATTGTTTTTTTGTTTGTTTGTTGTACACGAACGATGAGACACTACACTGCACAACGTAACGTCGCACTGCACGACACTCGTACCGCACGTGGGCTCATATTCCTGGCTGGCATCACGTTCCCAGTGTGCAGTGGCAACCCGTCTGTCTCACACCGCGAGGCACGTGCAACAGCTGCGATTGGCGTCACAGCACTGCACGGGTGTCCTGGGGGTGTGTGTGGGGGGGGTGTCTCGCTGGTCCATTCATCGGTGCTCGCTAACAGCACTTGCTCCTACTGTCCGTTAAGGCTATACGGAGGATCGTTGCCTTCGTGGCGGTTAAGCTACGAGCCCGGCGGCCAGAGTTCGATTTCCGCTAACGGCCATCGAGATCGACGATTATCTGAACCGGTCCTGGGCCTCCCTTAGCGCGTCCTTTTAATTCGAAGAGCGAGCGGCGCGCGCCACTGCTGTTGCGATGCGCACGCGCACACACGCATACGTGCGTGCACCGTGTGGTACACGCAGTACGTGTGTGCACCGTGTGGTACACGCATACGTGCGTGCACCGTGTGGTACAAGCATATGTGTGTGCACCATGTGGTACACGCATACGTGCGTGCACCGTGTGGTACAAGCATATGTGCGTGCACCATGTGGTACACGCATACGTGCGTGCACCGTGTGGTACACATACGTGCGTGCACCGTGTGGTACACATACGTGCGTGCACCGTGTGGTACACATACGTGCGTGCGCCGTGTGGTACACATACGTGCGTGCACCGTGTGGTACACATACGTGCGTGTACCGTGTGGTGCAAGCATACCTGCGTGTACCGTGTGGTACACGCAATACGTGCGTGTACCGTGTGGTACATGCAATACGTGCGTGCGCCGTGTGGTACACGCATGGGGCGACGTGACACGTTTTTTTTTACTTTACCAAGTAAGGCCCACTGAACTATTCGGCTCCTCGTCAGAAGCGACCTGGCCACAAACAAACGTCAGCCCAACCAAGTGGCTCGTCGTGTGGCAATGTACAGCAGCCAAACACACCAAACGCGTGATGTCCATTCTTACTGCGGAGGGAAAAACCGGCGGAACCGGAGAAGATCCACGCGACCTCGGGGAGCACGTGCAAACTCCAAACGCACGGGCGCGTCAGGGTTGGACTGGAACCCACGACCTCCTGTGTACCAGGTGAGGTAGTTAACGTTGCACCACCGCTGCACTGCTGCCCCTACGCCGCGACAATGCAGCGGCAGGACAATGCCTTCGCAATGAACGCAACACGTTCTACCGTGCTGCCCGAACAACAACACACGGGCGGACGGATGGCCCCACGTGTCTGCGGCAACGCATTTACCGAATTTAATCCCGAAATAATTAAACGCAATTTACGGCTTGGGCCGATTTAATCGCGTGCGGGGGCGTGCGGAGGCGTGCGTACAGCCCTCGCCGCCGATGCCGCGAACCGGCAAGGAGCTGCCGGCGACGATGTCCTCTGCATAGCGGTTGCAATCAGCGAAGTTTGCAAAAAGCGACTCTGTACCGAGCGGCATCTGCTTTGCAAGCCTCTGTCCGAATAAGGGCCGGAGTGGGTGGGTGGGGATGAGAAAGAAAAGACCACACCACCTCGGCGAGCCAAAACCCGATCTGCCCGCGTGGCACTCGGACAAACGCCGTGCACTCTGACGAGCTCGACATAACGCGGGCCCTGCAAGTCCGCGCACTGTAAGGCACAGCTGCCACACGAAGAGACACGGGCATTTGCGCGCGCGGCAAAAAAGGCGATGCCTAGGCGGCGAGAGATACGGAACTGTGTCACCCGAGTATATATCGGTCCTCGCTCCGTGTCCCGCGCGTGACCTTCAGCCACCGTACAGCACAAATGCGTGATGCACAAGGCCTCGGCTTGGACCACCAACTCAAAAGTCGTCAACAATGCGGCCGTTGTCATTCTAGACAACAGCAGCAGCAGCAGCAGAAGCACAGATGATGACTGCTGCCAGATCCAATGATAATGTGAGCCGATAAAGCGTCCTAACGCAGATGTGCATCGAAAGGCTGATCCTACGCGTAACTCACCATTGACAATTCAGAGGCACGTATCAATAAGCCAATCGATGAAGGCTTCCGCACACATTTCACGGAACCCGCTCACTGACCACCACCACCACCACGGTGAAGTACCGTCCAACAAGCCCCATGACCAATCACTACCGCCTCCCAACTGTCACGTTTCGCATCTGACGCGTTTGATATTTTAACTTAAGGTGCGTGGGGTACAGCGGCGTCTAAAGCGGTTAAGAGCACTGCACTTATAAGGCTCATGACTCCAAGTTCAATATCCCAGCCAGGGCTAACATCAGGATCAAAATCTAAACTGGTAGCGAGCCCCAGACGTCATTAATCCACACCGACAAGTGTGGTCCAGTTTGATCAAACGACCCAGGCCTGTGAACCAAACGTCATGGGGGAAGTCTTCATCCAGCAGCGGACTGACAAAGAGCTGTGAATTAGACAAGGTGAGCCACCAGTAGTGTTCCATAGTTAGTAGTCAGCAGCACACAGTGAAGCAGTTAATATCTCTAAATTGCCAACAAATAACCCAAGTTACTTCCAATTGTAAAACGTGGCCCTGGGCCACCATATTTAAGAAAGGGTTCTGACGAGTGTTTTTTTGGAATGCGTGCTTTTGGAAAAGCACAGATTAATTTCAAGCGACACGGCCAAAGTGTCCAGGCGACATTCTTGCTTTATGACACCATCGAAGCAAACGCTAAGCGCCCTGAACATCAAGTAAATATTTATAGCCATTTACCGATCTACTGCTGGATGTAGAGGCCTGCCCACACCAGAGTCGATCTCGGGGGATTGTTCGAGCTATACTTTTCACCACGCCGGTCAGTGAGGGTTTGGCGAAGGAGAGGCCAGCACTGGTTCAGATATCGCTCGCCACGGACGTCAGCCAGGGTCGGGGAATAAAAATCACGTGGCCTTATGTTCACATCGTCAGAAATGCCACCATTGCATCTGCGACCGGTCCCCGAGCGACGATCGAGGGTTCAGTTCGAGGGAGACGGCTGACACTCTTTGGGACGCGTCACCCCCCCCCCGCCCCCCCTTCTTGATGCGCAAAAATTCCAGCAAAATTGCGCTCACTTCAGGTTTGGCGGCCGACGTCCCAAGTGTACCGCGAGCCTCCCAAAGGAACGGCGCCACCTCCTGTGGTCACCCATGGTGGACCGTGGATCAAACTAATCAGTAGAGACGCCGGCGCGTGGTAGCAAGAGCAGTTTACACGAACGTTGTCGCAATTATAAATGCTGTCGTTAAAACCCGCCGCCTGCAGACACAGTCAACTAGTAACCGCCTCGCTCTCATCTCACTCTCAAAAAACTAACTTTTACATTTAATTTTACCAGGTGAGGCCCACTGAGCTGTGTAGCTAATTTTCAGAAGCGACCTGGTCACAAATGATAGCTCAACACAGTTGGCTTATCGTGTGGAAACGTATAGCAGCCAAATACTCTAAACGCGTGTTCACTTTAAATGTGGAGGGAAAAACCGGCGGACCCGGAGAAAAATCCACGCCAACTCCAAATATACAGCAGGCGTCTCCTCCCCTCCACGCACTCTCCCCTTCCTATCTCTCCACATCAGCACGTGAGGAGGGCACGTTAATTTTTGATGGGGTTTTTATTTTGCAGAACGCAGCACAGATCTGTTGAACATGTCCATAAAGGTCACTTTATTCAGCCTCCTCACTCGACCAGCGTAACAACAAGCGCCATTCGCCACTAAGTGGCGTTGACGTCACCACGGCGCTTGTGCCAGGCCATGTGCACGTTGAGGCCACGTGAAGTGTCGAACGCCCGCTGGCAGAAGGTCACGGGGCAGACCCAGGTGCCACGGGTCGACTGACTGAGATGACTGAGAGGAGTGGCTGGTGCACCACCTGTGCCCCCTACTGTGCCAACCTGCTGCGTTTTAGCCGCCCGGCACTCCGCTCGTTGTCGTGAGCGTCGCTCCTCCGCCCTCCGTTGTTGTTGTTGGAGGGCGACTGCCTCCAACTGCCCAGTCAGCAGCGTCCTTCACGAGCCTCACGACCAGCACGCTCACACTACCTCCACTGGGATTATAGTATAGCTAGCAATCATCGATTAGACATAGCGATCGTTGCTCCGTTACTGGCGGAATAATGCCCGTTTTCAGGCCAGGTGTGGAGGGACAGCTGCCGCTGGGGGTGCCCTTTTAAAATGCGTTTCAGATGACACGTTATGACAAAGTCGGCATAATTACCCATCATTGTTACCGTGATCAATTCACTCGCCGCAATGCACCCGATCTCGTCAGCGGTCGGGAGGCTAGGCAAGGGATTTTGTTGTGAGCCTGGCCCACTTGATTGGGATGGCGGTGGCGAACGCCGCACGCGTTTGCCTTGCGATCACCGTGGTGGGTGGCTGCAAGCGAGGGGTAAAACTCTCCCTTCGGCTAGGGGCCTCGATGGGGATGGGCCGATGTAGCCAAGGAGAAGGGCGGCACAGCAGGTGGCCTGGTCTCCAACCTGTTTCCATCTGTACGGGGATAGAGCGTTGCAGTGGGGGGTTTACTGCCAGGAGCTTCGGGTTCTTGCGAGTGACGATGCCGTTCAGACCCAATAATAAGGTGGTACTTATTCTTTTGGAGGGAGGTAGACAATTTTATACGTTACGGTTTCGAGGACGGAACTTTGTCGAACGCCGTTAGAATTCGTTATCACTTAACGTTTGTGAACTAAAGCATCTGTAATTAATAAAGAATTAAAGCTTGCGTGACTGCATAAAATTACTCATTGGTTTTTTAGGTAAAGTCACGTATGTAGAGCTACAATCAAATAATATTAAAACAAAACAATCACGACGTTTCGATAGGTCTGTTGAATTCTCGTCTCTCATCTCCTTGTTGTATTTACCCCCGTGATTTGTTCTTGACACCTCATGAAGATCGCTTGTGTTGTGATCGAAACGTCGTGATTGTTTTGTTTTAATATAATTTCATTGTATCTCTACATACGTGACTTTACCGAAAAAAACAATGTGCATCTGTAATTAGTTTTACGCACGGCCTATTGGGTCGCTCGTATGCTTATCCTCATCATCAGGCACGATCTATCCACCGCTGGATGAAGGCAATGCCCGTTAGCGAGCACCTATTAAGGCCACCACGGGGGTGGTGTGCCCAGCCCCGCTCCAAGCCGTCTTAGCCGTTCCAGTTTTGATGTCGCACTCCCAACAGACACGAACATTTAAGGGGCTTATGGGGGAAGCCCAGAACGGGGACCGATTTAGACAATAACCACTACGCTATGTAGCTCCCCGCAACAACAACAACAACACAAACTCCCAATGACTCAAGAAAACTTCAAAAGATCACACACACATGGCAGACATGTTGTTCGCGAGCGCCTATTAAAGGGCCCCCTCCACGTGTGTTTGGATGTGAGCAGAGGCAATCTCCCGGCCGCCTTCGTCTCTCCCTCCCACCACCCCCCCCCACCCAAGTTCCCACACGGCGACTCATCCATCACTCACGCACCGCTGCGCTCACCTTGACGATGGACCTCACGGTGTCTCTTCCCAGCACCATCTCAGCGCCGTCCCAGGCGCTCTGCGCCGCCTGCCTGAACACGTTGCTCCTCTCGTGCTCGTCCCGGTCATCGTTCCTGGCCGCGTGTGCCACCAGCACCAGCAGCACCACCAGCAGTAGACAGAGCACGGCCGCAGATCGAGCCATCTTCCACTCACACTTTTCCTCGCGCTTGACACGGACCGCTTGGGGCAAAGTGCTGGGGGCAAGCAGCAAGCACCGACCAAGGCCGAAAGAGGACACACGAGCGGAGGGTGGCCAGCACCACGCCTGGCCGCCTTTGTCTCCCTCGTGGCAATGTTTACATCAAAGTGACTCTCACACAGCGCGTCTCAGCAGTTGAAGAAGAAGAAGCAGCAGCAGCAGCAGGAGCTAAGCCCGCGGAAGCAGCCACCACCGTCACCACCGTCACCGGACGCACTGAAAACTTCCGACACGGACAGCCGCAACTTCCTGCTCGAGCGCGCACCCTGCAGGGCAGGCGAGAAGGCAATAGGAGATTTCATTCATTCATTCCGCATGCATTCATTCATTCCGCATGCATTCATTCCGCATTCATTCATCCATCGACACGATCATCAGTAAGCCCGCGTCGTTGAGCTCATCGTTTGTGCCCAGCTCGCCTTACAGCTCGCTGGGCCTTTCCTGGTTAGAAACTAAAAACTAAAATAGTCGGGAGAGTGTAGGAGCGTGAGTGAGTGTGTGAGTGAGTGCGTGAGTGAGTGGGTGAGTGAGTGAGTGCGTGAGTGAGTGAGTGTGAGTGAGTCAGTGAGTGCGTGAGTGTGTGAGTGAGTGAGTGCGTGTGTGAGTGAGTGTGTGAGTGAGTGCGTGAGTCAGTGAGTGCGTGAGTGAGTGAGTGTGTGAGTGTGTGAGTGAGTGCGTGAGTCAGTGAGTGCGTGAGTGAGTGAGTGTGAGTGAGTCAGTGAGTGCGTGAGTGTGTGAGTGAGTGAGTGCGTGTGTGAGTGAGTGTGTGAGTGAGTGCGTGAGTCAGTGAGTGCGTGAGTCAGTGAGTGCGTGAGTGAGTGAGTGCGTGTGTGAGTGTGTGAGTGAGTGCGTGAGTCAGTGAGTGCGTGAGTGAGTGAGTGTGAGTGAGTCAGTGAGTGCGTGAGTGAGTGTGTGAGTGAGTGCGTGAGTGAGTGAGTAAATGCGTGAATGAGTGAGTGAGTGCGTGAGTGAGTGTGTGAATGAGTGAGTGCGTGAGTGAGTGAGTGCGTGAGTGCGTGAGTGAGTTGCCCCTGTTTCGTGATTTGTGGGCAGGTAGCCGTGGCGGCGGCAGCGGCTCAACGCGCACTGCGCCCGATGGACCTCGTCCCGTTCACCGCGCGTGGTCAGCGAACGTCGTCGTGACCCCTTGCCACTGCCTCTCGGCCGCCCAGCATCACGGCGTCCAGAGTCATTTGTTTGACCCCGCGCATCACGGGGGAGAAGGAGTAGGACGACGAGGAGGAGAAAGGAAGGAAGTGATGCGAAATTTGCTGCTGGAGTTTGCGCAAATGAGGAGGGGTTGTTGCTGTTGTTGTTTTTTGTTCGCCCGGAGGAGATATCCACGGCGGCGGCCTCTCATCTCACTCCACTCCCCTCCACCCACTCTCCTACCTCTCCCCTCTCACTCTACCATCATCCACCCACTCTCCTGCCTCTCCCCACTCACTCTACCATCATCCACCCACTCTCCTGCCTCTCCCCTCTCATCTCTCTCTACTCCCCTCCACCCACTCTCCTACTCTCTCCTCTCACTCCACTCTCCTACCTCTCTCTACTCCCCTCCACCCACTCTCCTACCTCTCATCTCTCTCTACTCCACCCCCCCCCCCCCCCCCCCCCCCCCCCCCACGAACTCTCCTACCTCTCCCCTCTCACCTCACTCTACTCCCCTCCACCCACTCTCCTACCTTACCCCTCTCACTCTACCATCTTCCACCCACCCTCCTACCTCTCCACTCTCATCACACCCTGCTCCACGCACTCACATACCTCTCGTCTCACTCTACTCCACGATATATGTAGATGTTTTACTTTATAAGCCGCTGCTGCACAGCATTATGATAGTAAATGCCTCTCCTGTGGTTTGGTGGGTGTAATCAGTGGAGTGCAGAACTCGAACGGCAGATGGCGTCAATGACCAATTCACTCCGCAGTTTCCCTTTAAAGCTTTTTGTTTTTGTTTTACAGGACTGTTAAATAGTTTTACTTTTTTTGTGAAAACAAGTATTGTAAAGAGTCGTAGTGTCTACTTATGTATTGTGTTACTCGTATTCTCAGTAACGACGCTTGTGATTATTACGCGTTACGTATTGTAGAGTTGAGTGTCGAATGTTTACCCGCTTTAGTGCAGTGCAACACCGCTCACCCAGAACCCCCTGCAGCATAACAAAAGGCGGCTTAACTTAGCCCCTCCCCTCCTCACACACGTCCCTTCCTGGCTCCTCCCCCCCTTAACTCAGTCCTCCCCTCCCCACCCACGTCCCTTCCTGGCTCCTCCCCCTCCCTTAACTTAGCCCCCCTCCCTCCCCACCCACGTCCCTTCCTGGCTCCCCCCTCCTTAACTTAGCCCCCCCCTCCCCACCCACGTCCCTTCCTGGCTCCTCCCCCCCTTAACTTAGCCCCCCTCCCCAACCACGTCCCTTCCTGGCTCCTCCCCCCCCCTTAACTTAGCCCCCCTCCCCAACCACGCCCCTTCCTGGCTCCTCCCCCCCCTTAACTTAGCCCTCCCCACCCACGTCCCTTCTGGCTCCTCCCCCCCCTTAACCTGTATATAATCTCGTGTGTCCCAGAACTGTTCGCTTGATACAGCGAACTTCGTTGTGTCTGTTCCACCAGAATACGGAAGCTTGCGTTACCTCCGAAACGTCGTGATTTAATTTAGTTGTTTTATTTTAATTTTACCTACGTGACTTTACCGAAAAAAACAAAGAGTTTGTATGTCGAACTTGGACCCTTTTTATTACAAAGTAAGGTGCTTTGCCGTTCAACATCTGGCAGTTCATTGGATCAAGGCGAACGTATGGCAAATGAGATGTGAATAAAATACCTTTGTTTTTAATGTGGAGGGACACATTTGGGAAGGAGGGTGTACAGTCTTGTCTTATTCATTGCTTTACTAAAATGATAATGGGTGAGCGATTAGCGTGTTTTGTGAGCGGTGCCAGGTGTTAGTTCGGTGAGTAGTGTGGCTCGGATGAGCGTTGAGTGAATTGTGTTCGGTGACAGGTGAAGGCCAGGTGAGCGTTGAGTGAATTGTGTTCGGTGACAGGTGAAGACCAGGTGAGCGTTGAGTGAATTGTGTTCGGTGACAGGTGAAGACCAGGTGAGCGTTGAGTGAATTGTGTTCGGTGACAGGTGAAGACTAGGTGAGTGTTGAGTGAATTGTGTTCGGTGACAGGTGAAGACCAGGTGAGTGTTGGGTGAATTATGTTCGGTGACAGGTGAAGACCAGGTGAGTATTGAGTGAATTGTGTTCGGTGACAGGTGAAGGCCAGGTGAGCGTTGAGTGAATTGTGTTCGGTGACAGGTGAAGACCAGGTGAGCGTTGAGTGAATTGTGTTCGGTGACAGGTGAAGACCAGGTGAGCGTTGAGTGAATTGTGTTCGGTGACAGGTGAAGACCAGGTGAGCGTTGAGTGAATTGTGTTCGGTGACAGGTGAAGACTAGGTGAGCGTTGAGTGAATTGTGTTCGGTGACAGGTGAAGACCAGGTGAGTGTTGGGTGAATTATGTTCGGTGACAGGTGAAGGCCAGGTGAGTGTTGAGTGAATTGTGTTCGGTGACAGGTGAAGACCAGGTGAGCGTTGAGTGAATTGTGTTCGGTGACAGGTGAAGACCAGGTGAGCGTTGAGTGAATTGTGTTCGGTGACAGGTGAAGACTAGGTGAGTGTTGAGTGAATTGTGTTCGGTGACAGGTGAAGACCAGGTGAGTGTTGGGTGAATTATGTTCGGTGACAGGTGAAGACCAGGTGAGCGTTGAGTGAATTGTGTTCGGTGACAGGTGAAGACTAGGTGAGCGTTGAGTGAATTGTGTTCGGTGACAGGTGAAGACCAGGTGAGTGTTGGGTGAATTATGTTCGGTGACAGGTGAAGACCAGGTGAGTGTTGAGTGAATTGTGTTCGGTGACAGGTGAAGGCCAGGTGAGCGTTGAGTGAATTGTGTTCGGTGACAGGTGAAGACCAGGTGAGCGTTGAGTGAATTGTGTTCGGTGACAGGTGAAGGCCAGGTGAGCGTTGAGTGAATTGTGTTCGGTGACAGGTGAAGACCAGGTGAGCGTTGAGTGAATTGTGTTCGGTGACAGGTGGAGGCCAGGTGAGCGTTGAGTGAATTGTGTTCGGTGACAGGTGAAGGCCAGCTGAGCGTTGAGTGAATTGTGTTCGGTGACAGGTGAAGACCAGGTGAGTGTTGAGTGAATTGTGTTCGGTGACAGGTGAAGGCCAGGTGAGTGTTGAGTGAATTGTGTTCGGTGACAGGTGAAGACCAGGTTAGTGTTGAGTGAATTGTGTTCGGTGACAGGTGAAGACCAGGTGAGCGTTGAGTGAATTGTGTTCGGTGTCTGGTGAAGGCCAGGTGAGTGTTGAGTGAATTGTGTTCGGTGACAGGTGAAGACCAGGTGAGTGTTGAGTGAATTGTGTTCGGTGACAGGTGAAGACCAGGTGAGCGTTGAGTGAATTGTGTTCGGTGACAGGTGAATACCAGGTGAGCGTTGAGTGAATTGTGTTCGGTGACAGGTGAAGACCAGGTGAGCGTTGAGTGAATTGTGTTCGGTGACAGGTGAAGACCAGGTGAGCGTTGAGTGAATTGTGTTCGGTGACAGGTGAAGACCAGGTGAGCGTTGAGTGAATTGTGTTCGGTGACAGGTGAAGACCAGGTGAGTGTTGAGTGAATTGTGTTCGGTGACAGGTGAAGACCAGGTGAGCGCTGAGTGAATTGTGTTCGGTGACAGGTGAAGGCCAGGTGAGCGTTGAGTGCTTTGGTGACTGTGACCAATTTGGGGGTTTTGGGGGGTAACGGAGGAGGAATCAAAGCTGACGGGACAGGGGGCCTGACCGATATTCAATATTCACCCCGTCCATAGCACGGACTTCCCTCTAGCTGTCTTTTTTAATGATGATTTTAAAACCGCATTTCGTCTATAAAGGTGTGTACTGTACTGTATCGTGTGGTTTATTCTGGGATTGTATTAAACGCATCGAACATGCTGACCGGGTATGCCTTGCACACGTGCTGCTGCGTATCATATGGTTACTCACCTTGCTTCAATGTCGTCTTGCTGCACGTTCTCTAAACGTTACAATGACGTATACAATGTGATGACTTGCTCCGGTCTTTCTGCTTTCAAACATCGATCTTAATTCTTCACGTCTCGTGCTATTTGCACCATACAAAATCATCGCAACGTACTGCAGAAATCGCTGATGTTATCGTGGCTAAACAAACGTAACAAATGTTTAAACATAACTTCCCCGGATCATCTTCTCACCCGGGTGAATATATCATTGTAAGGAAGGAGGGGAAGACAGCAGCGAGTGCTGATGCTGCTGCTGCGTAGTAGTAGTAGTCAAACAACCTTTGCTGCCATGGCGTGTGCCAAATGTTGTGACACTGCGAATCATTGCGATGCTGACATCTTCCCCACGCGATGACCCCTCCAGGCGCGGGAGATCGATTCCGTCTCAGCGGCGTCACGATCTCTGTCGTTCTCCACCGCTGGAGATGGGGTTTTTTTGTGTCTATCTCGCGAATTAAATTTCGCCACGAGATCGGTAAGAGAGAGAGAGAAAACAAAACCGAAACTTCGGCGCGTTTCGCGACCGCGTTCCCGAATTTAAGGAACTCGCGAAACCACTCGGGGAGAGGGAGGGTGATCAGGAGGAGGATGCCTCACCGCTGCTCCTCGACAGCCGAGGAGGAGCAGAGACGAGACAACGGACGGACGACGACTGCCCGACAGCGCCGGATGAAGCTAGTGCGGTGCCTGTAGCATATGTTATAAAGGGGCCCTGAATAAAAATATTAAAACACAAGTCTTTTTTAACTTTCACATATAAAGTCATTGTGATATTTTCATTTGCCATACAGCCAAATGATACGACAAATTGCTAACCTTAAACAGTACGTCGTTCGTAAAAGTTAGAGGCAGTATAGTACTATAGTAATTGAGCAAGTGCATAATCACTGAACCGGAATTGATAGCTTGAAAGCATTTAGCGCGGGGCCCTTGAAAGTGCGGGGCCCGTAGCACGTGTAGCTACTGCACGTGTAGCTACTGCACGTGTAGCTACTCCATGTGTAGCTCCTCTTGTGTAGCTACTGCACGTGTAGCTACTGCACATGTAGCTATTGCGCTTGTAGCTACTGCACGTGTAGCTCCTCGTGTGTAGCTACTGCACGTGTAGCTACTGGACGTGTAGCTACTGCTCGTGTAGCTACTGCAGGCGTAGCTACTGGACGTGTAGCTACTGCACGTGTAGCTCCTCGTGTGTAGCTACTACACGTGTAGCTCCTCGTGTGTAGCTACTACACGTGTAGCTCCTCGTGTGTAGCTACTGCGCGTGTAGCTACTGCACGTGTAGCTACTCGTGTGTAGCTACTGCACGTGTAGTTACTGCACGTGTAGCTACTGCACGTGTAGCTCCTCGTGTGTAGCTACTGCACGTGTAGCTCCTCGTGTGTAGCTACTACACGTGTAGCTCCTCGTGTGTAGCTACTGCGCGTGTAGCTACTGCACGTGTAGCTACTCGTGTGTAGCTACTGCACGTGTAGTTACTGCACGTGTAGCTACTGCACGTGTAGCTCCTCGTGTGTAGCTACTGCACGTGTAGCTACTGCACGTGTAGCTCCTCGTGTGTAGCTACTGCACGTGTAGTTACTGCACGTGTAGCTACTGCACGTGTAGCTCCTCGTGTGTAGCTACTGCTCGTGTAGCTACTGCACGTGTAGCTACTGCGCGTGTAGCTACTGCACGTGTAGCTACTGCACGTGTAGCTACTGCACGTGTAGCTACTGCACGTGTAGCTCCTCGTGTGTAGCTACTGCACGTGTAGCTACTGCACGTGTAGCTACTGCACGTGTAGCTCCTCGTGTGTAGCTACTGCACGTGTAGCTACTGCACGTGTAGCTACTGCACGTGTAGCTACTGCACGTGTAGCTCCTCGTGTGTAGCTACTGCACGTGTAGCTACTGCACGTGTAGCTACTGCACGTGTAGCTCCTCGTGTGTAGCTACTGCACGTGTAGCTACTGCACGTGTAGCTACTGCACGTGTAGCTACTGCACGTGTAGCTCCTCGTGTGTAGCTACTGCACGTGTAGCTACTGCTCGTGTAGCTACTGCACGTGTAGCTACTGCACGTGTAGCTACTGCACGTGTAGCTACTGCACGTGTAGCTACTGCATGTGTAGCTCCTCGTGTGTAGCTACTGCACGTGTAGCTACTGCACGTGTAGCTACTGCACGTGTAGCTACTCGTGTGTAGCTCCTCGTGTGTAGCTACTGCACGTGTAGCTACTGCACGCGTAGCTCCTCGTGTGTAGCTACTGCGCGTGTAGCTACTGCACGTGTAGCTATTGCACGTGTAGCTCCTCGTGTGTAGCTACTGCACGTGTAGCTACTGCACGTGTAGCTACTGCACGTGTAGCTACTGCACGTGTAGCTACTGCACGTGTAGCTCCTCGTGTGTAGCTACTACACGTGTAGCTACTGCACGTGTAGCTCCTCGTGTGTAGCTACTACACGTGTAGCTACTGCACGTGTAGCTACTGGACGTGTAGCTACTGCACGTGTAGCTCCTCGTGTGTAGCTACTACACGTGTAGCTACTGCACGTGTAGCTCCTCGTGTGTAGCTACTACACGTCTAGCTACTGCACGTGTAGCTACTGCACGTGTAGCTACTGCACGTGTAACTACTGCACGTGTAGCTCCTCATGTGTAGCTACTGCACGTGTAGCTACTCGTGGCACGAGGACAACCCGGCACTGCTGCCCGGTGCTGGTGAGCGGGTTTAGCTGTGCGCGCAGCGCGAGCGTGCTGCTTGAATGGGAGGGCAGAGAGTGGGGGGTGTTTGGGGGGGGGGGACGGCTGAGGAGGAGGGGTGGAGGGGGCAGACAAAATATCAGGGGAGGGGCTGGGGGGGGGAGGCACGACACAATCCAGTGAGAAATAAACTTCGAGCGCAAGTTAAACGTTGAACGGCATGAGCGACGGTGCCAAAGGGCGTCGTGGTGGCTAAGAGATGTTAACTACCTCGCCTGGTGTACAGGAGGTCGTGGGTCCGATCCCGACCCTGACGCCTGCTGCTGTATATTTGGAGTTTTCGTGTCTCTCTCTCATCACCATCACGGTGGCTAAGAGATGTTAACTACCTCGCCTGGTGTACAGGAGGTCGTGGGTTCGATCACAACCCTGACGCCTGCTGCTGTATATTTGGAGTTTGCGTGTCTCTCTCCATCTCATCATCATCACGGTGGCTAGGAGATGTTAACTCCCTCGCCTGGTATGCAGGAGGTCGTTGGTTCGATCACAACCCTGACGCCTGCTGCTGTATATTTGGAGTTTGCGTGTCTCTCTCTCATCATCGTCACCGTGGTTACGAGATGTTAACTACCTCGCCTGGTATGCAGGAGGTCGTGGGTTCGATCACAACCCTGACGCCTGCTGCTGTATATTTGGAGTTTGCGTGTCTCTCTCTCATCATCATCACGGTGGCTAGGCGATGTTAACTACCTCGCCTGGTATGCAGGAGGTCGTGGGTTCGATACCAACCCTGACGCCTACTGCTGTATATTTGGAGTTTGCGTGTCTCTCTCTCATCATCATCACGGTGGTTACGAGATGTTAACTACCTCGCCTGGTATGCAGGAGGTCGTGGGTTCGATCCCAACCCTGACGCCTGCTGCTGCTGTATATTTGGAGTTTGCGTGTTTTTCTTCCCGTGGTCGCGTGAATTTTTTTCTCTGGGCCCTTTCTTTTCCTTCTGAAGTTATAAACATGCGTTCAGAGTATTTGTCTGCAACATATTTCCGCGTGGAAAGTCTCTTCCTTGAGTTATCACTGGTGGCCAGGTCTCTTCTGAAAAACAGAGCTGTGTAGCTCAGTGGGCCTTATCTGGCGAATTAAGAAACACGATCTGACGTTGTCTTTCGTATGTCGTGCGATCTTACTCTGGCCACCACCACCAGCTCACGTGCATAACAAGAAGGCAGCCTAAAGAAGGAGATGGAAGACATCGCAGCTGGTGTGAAATATCGTACACGAGGAATGATAGCGGCCTCACGTGGTTGCATACCTCACACGGGCTGGTTACATACAACACGCAAGAAATAATTAACGTCAATTCTTACGCAGGCAATTCTGAAACATGTACAGCAGTACCCCGATTTAATTCACGGCGCTTTCACGTCGTCTCGCAAATACGTCGTCACTTTATTAACACCGCTTCCCGATTTGCGTCGCCTGAACCCCACCACGACCACCACCACCACCACCTACCCCCCTGTACATCGCTTTGATTTCACGTCGTTTCGATATACGTCGTCGCACCTTTCAGGAACGCATCCCCGACGTATACCGAGGTATTACTGTACCACTCTTTTTTTTTCGTGAGCAAAAAAAAGTAACAAAACCAACTTCACCGAAAACTCTGACTTTGGCTCGTGAACCACGTGCACATTGTGCACGCGCCCAGGTGGATTGCCAATATTGACCACCCCCCCCCCCCCCAGCTCTCCACGCATCTCACAGCGAGACACTCCTCTGCGGCGCTGACCACGATGAACCGCAAAAGCGCCTGACCCCCAGAAGGCGGGATGAGCCTTTATCAGGTGGAGGGGGCGAGGGGTGGTGGGTTAGCACCCCCCCCGCCGACCTTGCCCCCCACGGTAAACAGTGCAGCCTGGGATGCACAGAGCACGCGGTGTGACGTCACACAGTCCTCAGAGCACGCGGTGTGACGTCACAGTGCACAGAGCACGCGGTTTTAACGTCACACAGTGCACAGAGCACGCGGTGTGACGTCACAGTGCACAGAGCACGCGGTGTGACGTCACACAGTGCACAGAGCACGCGGTGATGCGACCTTGCGGCGTTATCTTGTGTAAAGGCGGGGGAGGGAATGGGGCGGGGGGGGGTGCAAGTTACAATCAATGTTAAACAAACTCGAAGCAAATGTTAAACACGAAACAGAATGAGTAGCAGCTGCAGCAGCTCTCTCCGAGTTTGTCTGTAACGCATTCTTCTCTCGCTCTCACCCCCTACGCAGGAGGAAGGGCATCGCACCTCCCCGTGCCGGTGCTTCATTTCGGCAGCGTCAAATATCCCTCCCCCCCCCCCCGCCCCCCCCCCCCCGCCCCCGTCTGCTAGGCGAAGAGTTTAACGCGTAGGTCTGTGTCGTCCAGGGATGCTCCCAGCGGTGGACGCATTTCGTCGGCGGATCGTTTCCAAGCGGCGGCGGTGGGCCTCGTGTGTCCGCGAGTCGCGTGGAAGGATGTAGCGGGTCGCTTGCGGCCCCGCGAGAGTGGTGAAACTTCAGTAGAGAAGCTGGCCTCGTGGACCCGTCTGTGCGGACTCTGCCGATGTTGTTCCCCTGTATGCGGAGATTTGGTGGTGGTGGTGGTGGTGGGGGGGGGGGGTTCCGGGCATCGTTGTTTTATTCTACACGAAGTGAAACGGCTAATTAATGTTTATTCATATAAGTGGGCGAAGATTCACATGCAGCAAGATCCTTCTAAAAAGAGTATTTAGAGTAGATTTTTTTATGAACATGTAAATAGTTCAGTTTTTTTTTTATTACTGACTACCTTATTGGTCTGAATGTGTGCCTTGTGAAATGAAATGTTAATGCATTTAGTTTACGCTTTATTAATCCCAATTATCATTATTATGATCATCAGTGGTGCGTTAATCACTGGGCCATCCCTATATAAACCTAACTCGATGGTAAAGCGTACATTGATTATATATTAAAAAGATTCGGGTTTTAGGATTAGATTGCGTACTAGTAACGAATTGGCACGTTCTGTTCACGTGACAAACCTTACTAGTCGGCTGTGTCGGGTGGTCGCGGGTTTAACGACACATTTTTTCTATTATCGCGATCTAACTCAAACAAAATAAAACCTGTATTGTGTGTGAAATTGGTCGCGAAAGCCTCCTACTACGTGTTAAACTGATATATGGAAATCCACCGTCTTCACGTTATTATGACTCGTATTGAAAAACACCGCCAGTGTCGTCTGTCGCACCCGGCTTCACCCAGGGCTTCATTTCAGCTGGAGCTGTCCGGGGCTGAACGCCGGAAAACACCCCCTCCCCCTGTCCAATTCTGGGCTGGCCTTCGCGTCCCGGATAAAATAAGAAATTAACAAAAAAAGTAATACTTTCAATTTATATCGCGTCACTCACGCTCACAGCATCTCGTATTAAGCCCTCGTGGTTTACATCGTTGATGCGCAACACCCGTCTCTGTTTGGGCCACAATGGGCGTATAGTAGCGGGGAGCGGTGGTGCAGTGGTTAGCGCTACGCTGCGCTATAGACCTGGCATACCCGAGTTCGATTCCCGCTCACGTCCAACACCGGTGACTATTATCTGAACCGGTCCCGGGCCTCCATTAGGTCGACTCAGCCTCAAATGAGTACCCTGGTGCGGTGTGTAAACATCGCCACTGGGAAGACAAAGGCGGTCGGGCGTGGTGCTGGCCGTAACACCCCCCCCTCGTGTGCCGTCCCGGCCTTCATAGGTGCTACTCGCTAACAGCACTTGCCCCTATAGTCTGTTACAGGCTATACGGGGGATCTTTGTCTTCTGTCTTTGTATAATATCCCCCAGCCCATGTGTTGTGTGGGTGTATACAGAGCCATGATGCAGCATCGCGTCCAGACGCGTGCAGTGTTGTGTGGAGCAAAGTGCGCGCACATCACTGGGTCCATGCGCTGCCTCGCCACGCGTACGAATGTCTGACTCTCACACAGACGTACAAAGGCAAACACCCGCCCGTATAGCCTTGACAATACCTTTCAGGCAAGCGCTGTTAGCGAGCACCTATGAAGGCCGGCGCGGCACACGAGGGGGGTGTTAAGGCCGGAAACCACGCCCGGCCGCCTTTGTCTCCCGAGTTGCGATGTTTACGTGCCGCGCAATGTACGGTACTCATTTGAGGCTGAGTCCACCTAGGGGAGGTCCGGAACCGGTTCAGATAATCGTTGCTGGTGTTGGCCGTGAGCGGGAATAACTACCGCTCCCCCCACACGCACACTCACACACACAGCGTCACACATGCACACACACACAGCGTGACACATGCACACTCACACACACACAGCGTGACACATGCACACACACAGCGTCACACATGCACACTCACACACACAGCGTGACACATGCACACACACAGCGTGACACATGCACACACACAGCGTCACACATGCACACACACAGCGTGACACATGCACACACTCACAGCGTCACACATGCACACTCACTCAGACACAGCGTCACACATGCACACTCACTCAGACACAGCGTCACACATGCACACTCACACACACAGCGTGATACATGTACACTCACACACACACAGCGTCACACATGCACACACACACAGCGTGATACATGCACACACACACAGCGTCACACATGCACACACACACACACAGCGTGACACATGCACACACACACAGCGAGACACATGCATACTCACACACACACAGCGTCACACATGCACACTCACACACAGCATCACACATGCACACTCACACACAGCGTGACACATGCACACACACACAGCGAGACACATGCATACTCACACACACACAGCGTCACACATGCACACTCACACACAGCATCACACATGCACACTCACACACAGCGAGACACATGCACACACACACAGCGAGACACATGCACACTCACACACAGCATCACACATGCACACACAGCGAGACACATGCACACACACACAGCGAGACACATGCACACTCACATACACACAGCGAGACACATGCACACACACACACACACAGCGTGACACATGCACACACACACACAGCGTCACACATGCACACTCACACACACACAGCGTGACACATGCACACACACACACAGCGTCACACATGCACACTCACACACAGCATCACACATGCACGCACGGCTAAGAGAGAGAATAGAGAGAGAGTAGCACCACACTCACACAATGCTGGGCAGCACGCGGGCGTGGCGGACTCACGCAAGGCGCCTTTCGCTCCCTTATCTCGCCCGTGCATCCTTTTCCGTGGGCAGCCTGGCCCAGTCCAGCAGCAGCAGCAGCACCACCACCACTAACGCCGCAGCAGAGAGAGGGAGACGTTATAATAGAACGAGCGAGAAGGCGCAAAGGGAGAGAGAGCGAGAGATGCGACGAGGCGACACGGCCAGAGAGGGAGAGAGCGATAGAGAGGTGGTGGTGGTGGTGGGGGGGGGGTGGCAGATCGGTGGCGTCGTTTTGTATTCGTGGAGCGAGCGAGCGGTTTCGGTAGGCAGAACCCCCGGACAGGCACCGCGAAACGACTGGAGACGATGAGGATCGCTGGACAAAGAGCTTCGCTGAACGCGACTCGTGTTAAGGGAGAGGGGGTGGGAGTGTAAGGGGGGGGGGGGGTCAGCTGCAGCGCTGTCAGTGGGGGGGGGGGGGGGCTAGAGTCGCGGTCAGTGGGGGGGGGGGGGGGGCTAGAGTCGCTGTCAGTGCGGCACGCGGCAGCGTCATCCGTGTCACCCGCGTGGCGTCGTACGGCATCCGCGAGCTATCGCCTCTTGCTCGTCTCGCGGTCTTCCTCTTCTTCTTCCCCGCCGTGAGAGAGGGACTGCGTCTTCGGAATTGACCGGCGTCTCTGCGAAGTGGTATAGGCATCATCGCCACCACCACCGCCGACACCGCCGCTGCTGCTACCACTCCATCAGCACTCCTCACACACCGTGCCCCACCGAACCTCACGGTGTATATCATCCCATCGGCTCAACCTTCAATTGCACGGTCGCGTCGTGGTCGTAGTGGATGGTGGTGGTGGTGGTTGTTGTTCGTGGTGGTGGTGGTTCGAAGGATAATCTCAATTCCGCGGCTGAGACGCATCACCGGCGTTGCTACTCCACTCCGGCTCGCCAAATGGACAAATCACTTCACACGTTTGCAACTTTCCAACGCGGCCGCCGAAGTGGCACGTAAAATATACCGACGGTGTGATCTTCTGCCTCCACGGTGGAAAACCCAAACGGACGATAGGACGGCAATCATTGTTGGAGTCGGCTGGAGTTGTGGTGGAATTAACGGCTTTGGGAGCGATGACACCTTGATCTCAATCAGGTCGAGGAGAGGAGGTAGGTGGAGGGGGTGGGTGGGTGGGTGAGTGAGTTTGTTGGGCAGGAGCGGTCCCGAACATCGAGGCACGCGTCTCATCTCTGGTCAACCTCTGGTCCCGTGACACCGACCGACCCCCACCATGGGTTGCATTCAGAGCCTCATCTGCAAGCCGAGGCGCCTCCGTCGAGAAAACATCGTGGTGGAGGAGTTCTCGGCCACGATCGACTCCACGCCGACCGTAGTGGAGGAGTCGTCACCCATCGTTCTGCGCTACAAGACGCCCTACTTCCGTGCGTCGGCTCGACTCGTCGTGCCCCCGATCCCACCGGGACAGACGTGGGTCGTGGGCTTCGTGCAGGCGTGCGACCACATGGAGTTCCACAACGTCTACGGAGAGCTCGGAATGTACGTCGCGAATTCACTTAGCGCGCGTGCAATTAACGCGATCCTGGGATGTGGAGGGGTGGGGGGTGAGATCCATCATCGTGCGTGCCCCATTCTTCCCCCCACACCCACACACCCATCCCCTCACCCCCCCCCTCCTCCCCCCCAAGGTATGTTTCTGAGGTTCAATCGTTCACCGATGGACAGTCACCTACTTATCACTCTCATATCGCGCTTACCATCACTCTCTCTTCTATCGCTATTCCCGTGGCTACTGTTCACCGTATACAGTGAATATGATTTGATTCCTCCACCAATGTTCAGGGCTCGGTCGACCAGATTTGTTTCGTCTCATCCACCACGCCGTGTTCAACCACCACACTGCAGGTCACAACAACTCACTCACTCACCCAATCACTCACCCACACTCTTACCACTCACTCACCCACACTTTCACTCACTCACCCAATCACTCACCCACACTCTCACTTTCTCACTCACCCAATCACTCACCCACACTCTCACTCACTCGCTCACCCAATCATTCACCCACCCACACACTCAGTCACTCACTCACCCAATAACTCACCCACACTCTCACTCACTCGCTCACCCAATCACTCACCCACACTCTCACTCTCTCACTCACCCAATCATTCACCCACACACTCAGTCACTCACTCACCCAATCACTCACCCACACTCTCACTTTCTCACTCACCCAATCACTCACCCACACTCTCACTCTCTCACTCACCCAATCATTCACCCACACACTCAGTCACTCACTCACCCAATCACTCACCCACACTCTCACTTTCTCACTCACCCAATCACTCACCCACACTCTCACTCTCTCACTCACCCAATCATTCACCCACACACTCAGTCACTCACTCACCCAATCACTCACCCACATTCTCACTCACTCGCTCACCCAATCACTCACCTACACTCTCACTCACTCACCCAATCACTCACCCACACTGTCACTCACTCACCCAATCACTCACCCACACTCTCACTCTCTCACTAACCTAATCACTCACCCACATTCTCACTGACCCAATCATTCACCCACACTCTCACTCTCTCACTCACCCAATCACTCACCCACACTCTCACTCACTCACTCACCACACCGCTTCTTTCTCGGTTTCTTACCACGCACTGCTCCTCTTTGAATCCCCTCCGCACATAACCGTCTCTTTCCTCCCCCCACCGAGTTCTTATATAAGCATAATCACCTTGCGCAATTCCAGAAACGCATTTACACTCTCTGCTATTACAACTTCAACAGTGCTGCTTGTTACTGGCCGATTGTCGTTGTGGACCTTTGGGCAGTGTGCCCAGCGACCGTGATTAATTTTGTTTTGTTCAGTGACAATATTCACCGTGACTCGTGCGCTCTTGGTCCACACGTAATGGTCGAATGCCCACCCGGATGTGTTTGTGTGTGTGTTGTGAGACAAATTCCATTGACAACTTTAGGCGATACCAGCGTTCGAGATAGTACACGTGTACTGTGGCTAAGAGATGTTAACTACCTCGCCTGGTATACAAGAGGTCATGAGTTGGATCCCGACCCTGACGCCTGCTGCATATTTGGAGTTTGCGGTGTCTCTCTCCTCGTGGTCGCGTGGATTTATCTCCAGGTCCTCCGGTTTTTCCCCTCCACATTTAGAATCATCGTCATGCGCTTAGAGGATTTGGCTGCTTTAAATTTCCACGTGATAAGCCACTTCTTTGAGCTATCATTTGTGGCCAGGTCGCTTCTGCAAAAGAGGTATATACAGCTCAGTGAGCCTTACCTGCTAAAATAAAATAAAATGTTTTTAGTTTATAAGGTTTGCATAGCGAACATTTCCACCAGCAGTGGCGTGAGCAAGCCGTTGCAGGGGCTGAACATGTATCCTTTATACTGAACACTTTAAAAGGCGTTTACTTGTCCCTTGACAAAGAGAGCTCGTGGTCTCACTGAGTTGCCAACTGGTCAATCTGGTACATGGTATAATTAAGGAAGAGAAACATTGTCAGCATATTAGCGTGTTCAACTATTCTTTTCTGTTATTTTCATTCCGATTCATATTCTCGGTTCTTTCGGTAAAGTCACCACGTAGAAGGGAAACAATAAAATAATAATAAAATATATAAAACAAAAAAAATTCTCACGACGTTTCGCCTGCAACACAAGCAATCATCATCAGGTGTGAAAACCACAGCAAGAAAATGTGTGCTGTGGTTTTCACACCTGATGATGATTGCTTGTGTTGCAGTCGAAACGTCGTGAGAATTTTATTGTTTTATATGTTTTTTTTAATTTTTTTATTGTTTCCCTTTTACGTGGTGACTTTACTGAAAGATCCAAGAAGATGAATCCCTGCAGTCACGAAAGCTTTAAATCAAAATGTATTCCGATTGTTGCCCAAGAAAGCCTCACCGAGTCTCAAGACTCTTGTCCAGGAGATTCCTGCCAAGTTTGCGTTGTATGGGGGGCGATGGGTCGCTGTGCATAATTCCCATTTTAGTGATTGGCAGGAATGTTTGTGTCAGCACTGGGGTTTTGGCCAATACAAGTTACATTGCACGGGGTGTTTTTTTTGTTAGCTATGGGAGGAAGCCAGGGCATCCCAAAGGTAACCCATGCAGAAAATGGAGAGAGAGCACATAAACTCCACGGAGAAAGCCAACACGAGTCGGGGATCGAACCCAGTTGCTTCTGTCTGTGAGGCACCAGTGTTACCACTGCACCGTTACCCCGTCGCCCTCTGTGTATATAGACTAACTTTCACAGTTGTGCAACCCAACGCTCGGGTCTTCATACACACGTCCATTGGACTTCAGGCTACACTATTGAAGCTACACTATTTCGTGCGAGTAATCAGAAGCGAGATTAGCTTGATACCACCAGCTTTGACCGCACTCTGCCTGCTGGAGGTGAGTTGCTCGATACAATGAAGTTTAGGGTTTGTATGTATGTGTAAGTGTTTACCTTAACTTAAAGCAATGAATAACCTTTTGCTGACTCGGTCATGTAGGTGACGACGATCCAGCTCCAAGCCATATATTTTGGGGGCTAAAATTAGAACGCTTTTAGTTTTAGAATTTATCTTAGTTATAAGCGTGGCCTCAGGCATATTTGTGTCAATTTGTTTGCTTCTTAGACATGCTAAGGCATCACTAGAATGTTGCATTGGTCAGTCAATCATGGTTGGCTGTAAGTAGTGAATGTGAAATGCGAAAACATTGTCATACCTGAAATATTTACCCACAGAAGTCTGAGAGAGTGCTGAAGACACTTTATTTCCACTACGAATGCCATGCTTGAGATATCGGGCCACTTCATTTTTGAGATGTTTATTAATATTATCATTGTGTGGGTGAATTATGGCAGCAATATAATTATTATTTTAAATACCACACCAACAAGCGACATTACGTTTTAGTCAAATCACTCCCCCATGGGCTAAATATCATGACAATTCCATATCAAGTAGCCAGCAGCACAGAGTTAAGGAATTAATATCTTTAAATTGCCAAGAACAAACAAAAAGGTATTTCCGCTTGAAAAATATGACTCTGGGCCACGGTGGCTAGGAGATGTTAACTACCTCGCCTGGTATACGGGAGGTCGTGGGTTCAATTCCGACTCTGACGCTGGTGTATTTGGAGTTTGCATGTTCTCCACGTGCTCACGTGGATTTTTCTCCGCGTCCTAAGGGTTTTACCCTCCACGTTTAAATCAACACGTATTTACGGTGTTTGGCTGCTATAACATGCCACGTGATAAGCCACTTCGTTGAGCTATGAATTGCGGCCAAGTCGCGTCTGAAAAAGGGCTGTTTAGCTCAGTGGGTCTTGCCTGGTAAAACAAATAAATAAAATAGTTTTAAATTAGTTTATATGAAGCAGGGTTTCTGACTCGCGTTTTCGGAGCACCTGGATTACACTTTAAGCAACGAGAAAGGTGGAATTCTTGTTTAATGACACCATCGCCGTTTCTCAAAACTCAACTTAACAAGAGTGGTGGCGCTGGGCCATACTTCACCACTCTGCGAGCTGGTGAATTGTGTGGGGATGTATCGGGATGAGTGGGGGGGGGGGGGGCTCGAAAGAATCACTTGCCCCAGAAGTCTGTTAAAGGCTGCACGGGGGATCTTTGGCGTGAGGGAGAGGGGAGGTGCATTTCTGTTGACACCGAGCGCCACGTTTTGGGTGCGCCTCGCTTCCCCGGAGCGTCTTTTTCAACCAGAGAATACGGTAACATTTCGATTGCCACATAGGCTAATCCAGCTGTGATAGACGCTTGCATCACCTTTGCATATACAGTACTTGGCTGTGTTGGTAGAGAAAAGGCGGACACGCTCCGGCATGCTCGCGAGACTGCACAGCGCAACACCGTTCGGCGCGTTAAAGAACGCACATCCACATCGCTAATGCAGATCAATCAATAGGGCAGAGAGGGATCAATGCTGCTTAACAGCTGCTCCACCAACGAGGCATGACCTCCACTCTCGATTGACCGATCAGATTTGCCGTAACGTTGTCGTGCCGGAGAAAAAGGCGATGCATTTCAGCACTGCGGAAAGTTACCCCCCAAAGTAGCCGCTACCCCTTTGAATCTCGGCTACGTACACTCTGGTAGCACAAGTGCTACGTGGGCTATAATGAATAATAATGAAAAAATATTGTCCGGCACTTTGTCCATCCACCCCTGGATGAAGACCTACCTCTCCTCTCACCCCCCCCCCCCCCCCCCCCCCCAACGTCGTATCGTTCATGGGAGCTGTTGGACCATACTTCACCAGGCTGATCAATGCGGGTTGATGAAGGAGAGGGAGCCCTTGACGGCTAAAGATTTCACCCGCTACTGATGCGTCACCGAGGTCAGGAATCGAATTCAGGTGGACACCGCTCCCCCATCCCCGAGCATAAACAACAACGCGATCCTTTTGTCCCACGGCGTTGGTGTGTCCTTGGTATTGTCTCGTTGTCTCCAGCCTCTGTTGCACTTGCGTCTG